CTCTCGAAAAAGAACTGTTATAAAAACCATAAAATAATATCAAGTGGCTCACTCTGACGGTAAAACGAAACCCGTGTGACGATAAAAAGGATCTCTTTTAGCTGCTACTATACAAAAATCTCAACTGTTACCACTATTTCCACTTTACATTTCATATCAAGGTGGAAAATCCCACTTTGACGCTAACAGCAAAGTGAAAAGTTTCAGTTTGAAAGAAATTTCTATTAAAAACATTGAAATAAAGTCGTTTCCTTAAGAGATTTCAATAGCTATTAGTTGTTTTTTCAAATGGATCTGGAGAGCTGCTATTCTTAGAATAACTGCTTTATAATAGAAGTTTATTGTCATAAAAATCAGGACGTCGCGGTTCAAAGTATTTTCAAACTCAAGTTGGTTTTATGCTGTAACTTGAGAGGCGTGTACGAATTATGGTCTGTGTTCACCATTTTTGAGAGTGGCATTTTGGTCGAAACTAGGCATTCATAAATCTTATCCATAAATCTATACTGTCAACGTGAAATTTGAAAATTTTACAGTGATAGTAGAGATTTGTGATAAAATTTACGAATACCTAGTTTTGGCCGGCATTTTTTTAGTATTGGTCACCATATAATCACCGATGCAGAAAATAGGGAGAACATAATCAGAAAATGATATGTTTTACCGAAGATTGCAATCTACCTTTACCGATAATCTAGTACGATAAACTATATAGCTCGTGTTGTAGATATAATTTATTTTTATGCCTATAGACATAAAAACAAATTATATCTATTATTATATCTTTAAAGATACTTATAAGCATCTTTAAAATTTTTTCTTATTTTCAGTTCACTTTGTCCATCCAGATGGATGGAGAGTTCGAACAACCGGTATTTTTTAGAGGACACTTGCCACTATTCACATAGTAACAACAAATATTTGTATTCTAACTACCATAGTTATGAGTTGGTTTTTCAGAAAGGTTTTAAAAGCAGTTATATAAAAGTGTAGAAAGTCTCCGACTATCGGATGGCCGCTGTTGTTTAGCTATCGTGAATCAGAAAAATGACAACGAAACATTGTAACGGAGACACTTTTTGAATTAACTCAGCAGTAAAACGAACTTCCAAAAAGCAACTCTCTCTTCTTTTATAGCTCGGACTGCAAGCTACAAACTTTGCCTTAAACTCTGTTTATGAAAGTATGCAGGTTAGTAGAGATTTTAATGTTTCTCGAATGGAGTTTCAAAACAAAAACCTTTTTACATAACGTCTTCTAGTTTGACTATAAGTCTGAAACAAATTAACCAAAGAAGTTCAAACTTTCAGATAATATATTTGTACGGCTGAAATACACGAAATAATGTGAGAACCAACTGTCTGGCTTCTCTATTTTTCGAGAAAAAATGGAAATATGGCGACAAAAATATAATGTCTACCTTTGTCGGGACAGTTGTAGGTTTCATGCAACCAAAACTTCTACCTAATGCAACAAAAGCAGTTGTAATTATTAGTTTGAACGTATTAGTTGACATTATCATGAGTTTATATATTATAGTAGATGCATTCATTAGAAATCTGATAGAAGCATATCAGTCTTGTAGCAATTAGAACGTAGTAGCGTTTAATCTTCGACACAATTAATCAAACAATTTACATGATACCCAATTTTATGCATCGACAACCATTCAATTGTAGGCTTTCTAGTAGTTACATTATACAAAAACAACCATTGCAATAGAAGACGTTTTTTTCATTTCTTTGTTTGAAGGTAAAATAAAATAATGGAATATAAACATCATTCTAGACACAATGTCTATTATCATAATTTATAACTTAGAAGAATCAATGATTTTTAGATTAAATTATTTGTAAAAGAACGATTGCGGTTTATATATTGATTGGTACACTACTACTCAAGCTAAAAGCTACAAATTTGCTACAAAAATAATTAATCTGTTACTTAATTGTTGTTTTCTTTTCTCTTTTTTTATTGATATACATGCATGCTCATTCGATGCTCATTGTTTCATTCCATTCTCGCTTGTGTAGTAGTCACACTTGAATAGTCTTGTTTTATGACACATACGAAGGAGAAAAAAAGCAAAGGAGGTACCAAAGGTTATTAGCAAGCAACAGAACAAAAAAGTATTCTCGTCGATGCCCTTCGTTCTCATGGACGACGTATTTTTTTAGTAGCATGTCTTGTATTTAGATTTTTTCCTTGGCTGTTTGTTTAACGTATATACATATACATACACATAAACGCACGCGGGCAACAATGTCTCAAAATCCACCACAACCTCAACCATCTCCGCTAAGAGCGGCAAGGCGAACCGAGTTACATTCACCTGATTTTAGTTATTCATCAGAATCATCGTCTGATGGTCCCTATAGGACACCACCGCCTAATGCCGCCAACTCTACATCTGCAAGAAAACCTACTACAAGAAAGAAATCATCAACATCCGGCAGCGATGATCAATCTGCGTCCAACCAGACACCAACAGTACAAAAAAGGAACGTTATTCAATTATGTTGATGATGTCCTATCGAAACATGATTCAGCTAGTGGTCAACATGGTGAAACAAGAATCAGTCCGAGACAAATGAGAATCGGAGGGCGTGGTGGTGGAGGTAATGATGGAGAGCCGGGACAATCTGCATTTCGACGTTATAATCCAAATACACAAACACGAGTTGATGAAAATAGTTTTGATACGGATGACGAGCAACGATCAACACCTACCATGCAAGTATGAAACTGCATAGCACGCCACCAATGTTTACTCTGAAAAAATATATATTCCATGAAATTTTAGAGATAGAATTATAACAGCAGATATGACTAAAACTCTAATTCTGAAATGTAATTAGCAATGCATCTAGCTTTCCTCTTGAATAATCGCAACTATGAAAATGTGATGTCTGGCTGTGATTTATGTATAAAAGAATGTCTTTTTAAAGCTGACAAAAAAATTTTGAAATATTTCTCTCATTTTAGAACACAGCTGACAGTCAACACGAAGTAAATTTTGATCCTGACCCGGTTATTGAAGAACGTGAAAGTAGAGATCAAGTGTATAAACAACCTGTCTACTTGAGACAACTACAACCACCAACACCAGCTCCAGTGGAAATTCAAATACAAGAAGTTCTTATTAAACCCGAAATACAACGTCCACCACTTCATGTTCGAGTAGCATCACGTGAACCACGAACACCTTCACCGATTCTCATTAAAAGTGCGCCACCTCGACCACCACTACCTGAACCCGAACAACCGATTATCTACAATAAATATGTACCTGGACCAAAACCAACACCTCAACAAGTAAGATGCACGTAATGCAAACTTCAAGTGAAATTATTTTTTGGCATTATTATACATATTCAGATTTAGCTTAACGAGCTGATTACGAATAACACCTTTCGAGCCTCCAAAAGCCATTTCTTCAT